GGGAGGCGGATAGAAGAGGGATAGAGGAATCAGAAAAGGGGGAGGGGAAGGGGGTTTATCCCTCTTCTATCCGCCTCCCACTCTCTCCCTATTTATTTCAAAACCCCCTTCCCCTCCCCCTTTTCTGATGAAGGGTCTAGGCCCGAAACGTCAGCCTCTCTGCTCCTATGATGCTGCTTGGCCTGCTGTGTTCGTCCAGCCCTGCACCTTGTTGTCTCTGTTCTTCAGTCTGTTTGCTAGTTGATTTGTACAAAAGGCAGAATACAATGCAGATCAATGCAAAATAGCCATTCATATATACAGGAGATGTTTGTACGTCAGATCGTTAAAATTACACCAGTGTATAAATTATACCCTGTTCGTAAGTCAGACATTCGTAAATTGGGGATGTCCTGATTACTAGCATCCTGAAAGGACGGACTCCTCTCATCTGGGCTGTATATGGCTAAATATCCCAAACAATATGGTTAATTCTTAAACTCTCAAGCCATTCACTTGTGTACAACTGAAGACGAGCAATAATTTCCAGCCTTTCAACAATCTCCACATACAGAGAAAAGCAATTGGTTATAACAGAACTGCCCATCCTACAAAGAGGTGGGGTGAAGGGGAAATCGAGGCTTTTAGTCATGTATACGTTCCCCCCTGCCCCCAGTTTCCAATTCTCTGCTCTGACTCCTTTCAGGATGAAATCAATGAGAGCTCTGGAGTTGTAAGTACAGAGTATGAAGAGCTGATGAGGCTAAAAAGAACAGGTTCCATTCAAGCCAAAAACTTAAAGTCAAAGTTTGAAAAGATTGGCAAGCTGTCAGAGGAGGAAATACAGAAGAAGATCGAAGATGAAAGAGCCAAGAGGAGAGCGGAGGACCTGGAGATAAAGGAAAGAGAATCTGAACGATTCAGAGAGGTAAGTTTTCTTCTGGTAGAAAATTGGTTGACTTGATTGGAAGAACCTTGAGCATAAAATTTGAGGGATAATTCTATTCTGCTTGGCCTTTCTCAATACACAGAGGCCAACATTCCTGCATCTGGATCAAGAAACTATGGGCTCAGGAACTAAACTCCCAAATTGGGTTGGAATGCAATTGTGTTGGAAGCAGTGTTGCATCCCAGGGAGTAGTCTCATCCTAAAACAGAATGTTGAACAAGTGAGATTTCATCTGTATGTTCCCATTAAAGATCCCAGGGCAGTACATGAGGATCCCTTAAGTGTCCAAGCCAACATCCCTTTCTCAGGTAATATCACTGAAATCAAGCCAAATGGCCATGGCTTTTTGAGGGTGCTGAATATCACTCAAATCTTTTCTTTCTTCTTTTCATTGGTTGCATCCATCACCGGCCATGTCAGCATTTGTTGCTCAGTCCTTATTGGCTCTTGAACTCAGTGAATCTCTCAATCATCTCAGTGGGCAGTTAAGAGTCAAACAAACACACTTGCAGTGATTGGAACAAAGGCTAGGTTGATCTCAATGACTATGAGATCCTCGATTGGGATTGTTCACCTGGACCAAATGGGGGGCCCTAGATATAAACAGGAGATTCAGAGATTCTCTTCAATTTAGGGACCAGCTTTGAGCTGGCTGGTCACAGCCCACGTACACTATGCATCTAAATAAAGGGTGACTTGGTGATGGGATACCAGCCTCTGTGCACTTATTTCAACATTGCTGTGGGTCAGGTGTTATATGTAGACCAAGTAAGAATGGCAGAGATAACAAGGTGTAGAGCTGGATGAACACAGCAGGCCAAGCAGCATCAGAGGAGCAGGAAGGCTGACGTTTCAGGCCTCGACCCTTCTTGAGAAAAAATGGCAGATTTCCTTCCACAAAGGACGTTGGTGAACCAGATGGGTTTGTACAACAATTGATGACAGTTGTCTTGGTCACCATCATTGAGACTAGCTTTATATTCCACATTTATTAATCAAATTTATATCCCACCATCTCCTACGGTGCCTGTGCCCCTGGTCCAGTGATATTGCCACTCTGTCACTACCTCCCCTTCACAACAAAATAAGCCACGGCATTTCTTCAAACAAAGCAACTGTGTTGCTAGGATAAGCAGCTGTTGAAATGCACATCTTTCTTGAAATTGTATCATATCATTTTTAAAGTGTTTGAGATGTCTAGGGTTCAGTGGGTCACAGTCTGCTTCTGCTTAAGAAGGACGTGTATTGAAATCCCACCTCAGACACATGAACAAATAGCCTTTTATCACATTCTGGTGCAGAACTGAGGGAGTGCTGCACTGTCTGTGGTGCATTTGAAATGTTCAGGTAGATGCAATAGATCATACAGATCTGTTTTGAACAACCGGTGAGTTCGGCCCCATCTCCTAGCCAATATTTTTCTCTTGGCCAATGTCTTACAGATTATTTTATATCCCATGGCTGTTTGTGGGAACTTGCTGTACGTAAACTTCGGAATTTTCTAACACAGAGTGTTCAGTCTTTAAGTATGTTTAAGATAGAGATCAATCGATTTCTAATTACCAATCGCGTGCGGGGTTATGGGTCAGGTGGTTGAAGTGCTTGATCAGTCATGATTGTATTGAATGGCAGGGCAGGCCAAATGGACTGAATGGCCTATTTCTGTTCCTATCACCTTTCCTTGACATTGACAACACTTAGAATATATTTCATTTCGATGTTAACTTTTTTTGGGGACATCCTGAGGTCGTTAGAGGTGCGACAAAAATGTAAGTCTTCAACACATGCCCATTGAATCCTTCAGTAGTGTAGAAGGGACAGCTAATTCATATACAGGTATTTCTGCTATAACGTGTGTTTTATTCACATGAATTAGCTGTAATGAAATTGATGAATAGTAGACTCTGTTTGGATAACACAAACTTTCTGCTGTACAGGTAGTGATTTTTTTTGTAGCGATTTCCCTATTACATGATTTTCCATAGCACGAGGTCACACAAGAACGCAACTATCGCGTTAAAAGAAAACTACCTGTAATCAAATCCGCACTGAGTCTGAAAGGAAACTTTTTGGGACCTTAGTTGGTTTCAGATAAGAATTGTTCATTTGACTCTGGTCATAGAAAGATCTACAGCACAGAAGGTAATGCTTTGGTCCGTCACAATCACACTGGTCAAAACAGCCACCTCACTATTCCGAGCCCATTTTCCAGCACTTAGCTTCAATTCAAATTCAATCGAGATGACCCTGATTTATTCGCATTATGTCAAATAACTTTTTGCCTGCTTGCCTTCATCTGTCACAGCATTGAGTACAGCAGTTGCTACGTCACATTATGACAACACAAGATATTGGAAAGGCCACTTTTGGAGGACCGCTGACAATTCTAATCACCCTGCCACAGAAGGATGTTGTTAAACTGGAAAGAGTACAAGGATGTTACCGAGACTGGAGGGTTTGAGTTAGAACATAGAACAGTACAGCACAGTACAGGCCCTTCGGCCCACAATGTTGTGCCAACCTGTTATCCTACTAAGATCAGTCTACCCTGCGTACCCTACATTTTACTATCCTCCATGTGCCTATCCAAGAGTCGCTTAAAAGTCTCTAATGTGTATCTGACTCCACTACCACTGCTGGCAGCGCATTCCACATGCCCACCACTCTCTGTGTGAAGAACCTACCTCTGACATCTCCCCTATACCTTCCTCCAATCACCTCAAAATTATGTCCCCTCGTAATAATCATTTCCGCCCTGGGAAACAGTCTCTGGCTATCCACTCTATCTATGCCTCTCATCATCTTGTAAACCTCTATCAAGTCACCTCTCATCCTTCTTCACTTCAATGAAAAAAGCCCGAGCTCCCTCAACCTTTCCTCATAAGGCCTGCCCTCCAGTCCAGGCCGCATCCTGGTAAATCTCCTCTGCACCCTCTCTAAAGCTTCCACATCTTTCCTATAATGAGGTGACCAGAACTGAACACAATAATCCAAGTGTGGTCTAACCAGAGTTTTATACAGCTGCAGTTTAACCTCGCGGCTCTTAAACTCAATTGCCCTGCCAATGAAAGCGAACACACCATACGCCTTCTTTAGAACGCTATCAACCTGGGTAGCGACTTTAAGGGATCTACGGACATGGACCCCAAGATCCCTCCGTTCCACCACACTGCCGAAAATCCTGCCATTAACCCTGTATTCTGCATTCAAATTTGACCTTCCAAAATGAATCACTTCATACTTTTCTGGGTTGAATTCCATCTGCCACTTCTTTGCCCAGCTCTGCATCCTGTCAATGACCTGTTGCAATCTACAACAGCCCTCCACGCTGTCCACAATTCCCCCAAACTTTGTGTTATCAGCAGACCTACTAGCCCACCCTTCCACTTCCTCATCCAAGTCACTTATAAACATCACAAAGAGCAGAGGTCCCAGAACAGATCCCTGTGGAACACCACTGATCTCCGAGCTCCAGGCTGAATACTTACCATCTATTACCACCCTCTGTCTTCTATTGGACAGCCAGTTTTGTATCCAGACAGCCAAATTTCCCTGAATCCCATGCCTCCTCTCTTTCTGAATGAGCCTACCATGTGGAACCTTATCGAACTCTTTGCTAAAATCCATATACACCACATCCACTGCTCTACCTTCATTGATGTGTTTTGTCACATCCTCAAAGAATTCAATAAGGCTTGAGGCATGACCTGCCCCTCACAAATCCATGCTATTTCTAATCAAACTGTGCTTTCCAAATAATCATAAATACTACCTCTCGGAATCCTCTCCAATAATTTGACCACCACAGAATAAAGACTGACCAGTCTGTAATTCCCAGGATTATCCCTATTCCTTTTCTTGAACAAGGGAATGACATTTGCCACCCTCCAATCTTCTGGTACTACTCCAGTGGACAGTGAGGACGCAAAGATCATGGCCAAAGGGGCAGCAATCTCTTTCCTCTCTTCCCGTAATAACCTTGGGTATATCCCGTCTGGCCCAGGGGACTTATCTATCCTCATGTTTTTCAAAATTTCTAGCACATCCTCCTTCCTAACATCAACCTGTTCAAGCATATCTGGCTGTTTCATGCTGTCCTCACAAAACATCAAAGTTCCTCTCTCAGGTGAATACTGAAGCAAAGTATTCATTAAGGACCTCCCTACCTCCTCTGACTCTGTACACAAGTTCCCTCCACTATCCCTGATTGGCCCTACTCTCACTCTGGCCATCCTCTTGTTCCCCATGTAAGTATAGAACGCCTTGGGGTTTTCCTTGATCCTACCCACCAAAGTTTTCTCATACCCCCTTCTAGCTCTCCTAAGTCCATTCTTCAGTTTTTTCCTGACTACCTTGTAGACCTCTAGAGCCCTGCCTGATCCTTGCTTCCTCAACCATAAGTAAGCTTCCTTCTTCCTCTTGACTAGGTGCTCAGCATGTCTTGTCGTCCAAGGTTCCTTCACCTTAACATCCTTTCCTTGCCTCAGTGGGACAAACCTATCCAGTACTTGTAGCAACTGCTCCCTAAACAACCTCCACATTTCTATTGTGCATTTCCCTGAGAACATCTAATCCCAATTGGTGCTCTGTCATTCTTGCCTAATAGCATTGTAATTCCCCCTCCCCCAATTAAATACTTTCCTATACCATCTGCTCCTATCCCTCTCCATGAATTATAAGGAAAGGCTAGACAGGGTGGGACTTTTCTCTCCCTAGAGCGTAGGTGATTGAGGGGTGACCTTATAAAGGTTTATGAAATCATGAGGGGCATAGATCAGGTGACTAGCCAAGGTCTTTTCCCAAGGAAGGGGAGTCCAAAACTACAGGGCATAGGTTTAACTTGAGAGAGGAAAGATTTAAAAGGAATGTGAGGGGCAACTTTTTCACACAGAGGGTGGTGCGTATATGGAACAAGCTGCCAGACGAAGTGGTGGAGGCTAGTACAATCACAACATTTAAAAGGCATTTGGACAGGGACA